TTTTATTCACAAAATAAATTAATATTAAAAAAATTCACAAAATTTTTTTTCACTAAAATTTCAAGTAAAAATTAAAAATTCAATTTTTGAATTAAAAAATAATTTTGTCTATTTTTTAAAAATAAATATCAATATAAAAAAGTTTCAAAAAATTTTTTTCATTATTTTTTAAATTTTATTCACAAAATAAATAAATATTTAAACAATTCAAAGAATTTTTTTTCACTATAATTTTCAGTAAAAGTTTGGAATTCAATTTTTAAATTAAGAAATAATTTTTCCTATTTTTAAAAAATAAATATCAATATAAAAAATATAAAAAAATTTCTTAAATTTTTTTTACTATTTGTTTTTTAGTTTTATTCACAAAATAAATTAATATTAAAAAAATTCACCAAATTTTTTTTCACTAAAATTTAAAATTCAATTTTTAAATTAAGAAATAATTTTCCCTATTTTTTAAAAATAAATTTTACTATAAAAAATATAATTGACCAACTAAACAAATACTCCATAAATAAAATAATAAAATTAAAAAACGAAAAAGTGAAACTGAATAATTACAGTTAGACCGGAAACATAAAAATAATATTTTCCTTTCATCCAAATTTATTAATAATGTATTTATATCCTACCCGTAAAAATGATAGTTACGCAACAAAATTTAATAATCAACAATTACATTATTATTATTACTAATATAAATCCATAAAAAACATTGAGGATAATTCACAATAAAATGTAACAATAACAATAGGTAAATTCCTATCACACATGCACACTTTATCACAAGAACCACATCCGGGAACTAAAAAAATTCTCACTGATACGTACCAAAGTAAAAGCGCTCATGATGATCTTGTTTCTTATACGACCATTCAGATAATTATAAAATATAATTACAGATGTAAGAGCTTATAAATGTCCAGAAAAAAAATAAAACTTTTGTTTCTTATTACTTAACAGATCAATAAATAATTTTTAAGCGTGCAATTGATAATTGTGTTAGTGGACAGCGAGATTAGAATAGAAGTCGGAGCTTGAATCGGGGCCTTGATATACCTTAGTGGACCCCGTCTAATCCCCCTACAGACCCCTTAGGCCCCGAACGGGCCCCTCAGCTCCTCCCAGCCGGGCAAGCCACTGTCCGACAACAATTTGCTGGATAGTGCAGCAAATAGCAACCAAGGAACTTTCACTATCTATTGGACTTGGTCATACTCAATATTACACTTCTAGCCACCTTAGCATTGCGGATAACATTGCGGAACCTTGTGTAGGCACTCAGGCCTCAAGACTGGGCGACTTGGACTGCCAGCACACGCGGAACCTCTCTTACTTGGCTCTTGGCGTGTTTGTTAGATTTTACCTTCAATGGATTATCTATGTGTTATGCATTTGCCCGTAATTTCTCCTACTTTCACCTACTGCTTTTGTTACTTATTACTTATTACTCATTACTCGTTACTGTAACTAAAGATTTAATTACTTTTCGTTATTGCTTTTTCTGGCTCAGTCTTTCGAGATACTTTGCATACAAGATAAATCGTTGGTTGTCGCTAAAAAATTTTAAGTACTGCAGAACTTATGGTGCGAAGCATCAAAGATCGCTTTACGATTGACAAATTTTTTTTCGCCTCATCTCGGCAACTATTTTTATTATTGTGCGCACAGGAAAAAAAGGTTCACTTGAGCCAAGAAAATATTTTTCTTTCTAATTATTTTCTTGAGCGAAGAAAAAAATTTATTTTTGATACAAGAAATTTCACTTATTCCAACAAAATTAATTCTCTTGCTTTAAGAAATACGTATTTTGATCCAAGAAAATTTATTTAAGTCAAGAAAATCTTGTTGTTTTGAGAAAATTCAGCCTCTAGCTCCAAAAAATTTAGTTCTTGATAGAAGTAAATTTTCTTGTCTTGATAAAATTTCTCTCTTGCTCCAAAAAATTAAATATAAAGATAGAAGTAAATTTTAATTAATATTTTTATTGATTAACATGTCAAATGGGAAGATCTAATAATATTGAATCATTTTTTTTCATTTAATATGTATAATTGCACGCTAAAATAATATAAATTGGATATCAAATATTCAAGAGAAAAATTTTCTCAAGGTCAGAAAATTTTTTTCTCAGCTGAAGTAGGTGGCATTGCTTCCCTAAAATATCTAAAAATCTTTATCAAATATAAAAATTTATGATTTGAATTAAGAAAAAATTACTTCCACCAAGAATAGAATTTCAAAAAAAATTTTTACTTCGGCCAACACACCTTCGGTTTTCCTTCAGGCACTCGAAAATTTTCTTGAGCCAAAAATTTTGTTCTCCAGTCAAGAAATTTTTCTTTCTCTATACCCTTATTAGTTAACGGAGTTAAAATATTTTTTATACTATTGTCAAAATTATTTAATGGAGATTAATTCCATATTTTTTCAAAATTTATTTAGTGCAATAGAAACGGAAGAAAACATCAAAATAGGTTAAAAATTTTGTCAATGATTATTATTACTTGCTGAAACAATTTCATAAATCTTTTTATATTTATTTTTTGTGGTTGCTCTTTATAATTGTTATTTAAATAACATAATAAATATCGATGAAAATGATAGCAGAGACCGTGAATTATTATGCAATACATCTATTTTTAACGTTACTTTATACTATTAATAATTATAATGTTTATAATTATTATTAAACCATTGTAAATTTTTATATGACCACAAGGAATCTCGACTTCACGGTCGGATAGAATTATATTTTGCAACCAACACTGAGAGAATAATCTGGTTTTCTGAACTAGGAAAATCTAGTTAAATAGCATCATCACTATTTAATTGAAGTTCTTATACACGGAGAGAAAAATATGGAAATCATTCCTATAATTTTAATGAAATATTTTCCTATACCATTTTAGGAGCGATTACTTAAATTATGGGAATTATACCCATAATTTTTGGGAAACGTTACTATAATTATGGAAATGTTTCCTAAAATTATAGGAACTATACCTATAATTATAACTGTAATATCGGCGATATTAATAATTCGAAAGAATGTAATAATTCGAAAGAATTCGAATAATTCGAAACTTTTCGAATTATTCGTAATTTTTTCGAATTAATCGAATTTTTTCGAATTGTTCGTCGAATTTCGAATAATTCGAAAATTCAAATTATTCGATTCGGAACGAATAATTTGTAAGTTCGAATTATTCGCACACCCTTAGTATCGATATGTTTAAGATGAATACTGTAGAATTGATAAATCAAAAAAGGCTTCAAATTTTTGATACATCAAATATCAAATTAGTATTAATAAATATTTATTATTAACTTACAAACATATTAAATTATTATTGAATTACTCAACATTATTGTAACTATCTTGTTCTAATTCAGAATATTGTATAAGTTATAAAATAGAAACAATTATTGTCTTTCTAATTGGGATTATTACATCTTGATATTTTTATCAATATAATTTATTGTATATCAAAGAAAACAGAGAGCAATAGATATGTATTTATAAAAATATAATTTTTATAACTTATCTAATTTTTGATAATTTCAAACTCTTTATAGAATTAAAATTTTTTTAAAGCACTTCACAATATCAAAAAATTAAATATTAATTTATAGCTCTCATCCATATCTCTAATAAATCAATCAATATTTATAATAATCTTCTCTACACTCTGTATATCTGTCAAAAAATAGACACAACGTAGTGTAATTAATTTTCTTAAAATTACATTATACATCACTGACCAGAAATGTCACATTACGCGTAAATCAAATATATTTATCTAATTAAAAAAAAATATCTATCCTTATTAAGAAAGAAATAAATTCTGTCGTTGAAGTTTTATATGTCTATAACGCCTATAATAATAAATCAATGAATTTACGCCAGTCTAACATACTATACATATTGTGAATTTCAAAAGTTATTATGATTGTGAATAAGTTTTTTTTTTTATTGCAAGAAATCTTGATTCTACTTGTCACACGAATCTATCTTAATAATATGAATAAAATAATATGAAAAATAAAATAAACAAAAGATTACTTGAAGTTTTTGAATGGCTGCTCTCAATTTTCAAGTTATGATTCAATTTCTCTCAAGTTACACTGCACAGGAAAATAATATTTATCATAGAATTTATATTCTTTCGTAACTTACCGGCGAACAACCGCTAAGTGTAAATGTCACTCCGTCCTAAACAAAAAAGAAAAGAACAATATATTAGTAATGAAATTATGTTTATAAAAAAAAATGTTGAATTCAAAAGAAAAAATAACAAATTAATATTCTAGAAACTTTTAAATTGTTATTTTTCTTCGAATAAATAAAAGCTTAATTTCAATTATAACATGAAAGTTCAAATTTTCAAAAGTTATGCATTAAAATTTTAACTTCCAGTCTTAATGAATATTCATTTTCTGTTTATTTTTTTAGTAATTATTTTTTTATTTAATGTTTTAAGGATCCATAAGAATTTAAGTTTAAAATACAGTAGAACTACATTTAGAATAAATTATAATCGGAAACTTTTCTTTTAATTATAAATTTTTAATCCACAAAACTTTTGTCGGTGCATTTTACTTTCATCTCACATAAGAGTTAATTCTCTTTCTGTAAACATTATTTAGGGTTTGAATAATTTACTAAAAATCGTAACTCAAATTTAGTTGAGGCAAAATTAACTGTTGACATTACGTTGGTAAAAAAATTTACAACTAAGCCAATGTCACGTTCTTATCATGCAATTTTTATTCACTGATTGTTAATTTCAATTTTAAGAAAATAATTTTAAAGAATTTAATTGCCTTGAGTCAAGACAAAAAATTCTTGAATTAAGTTAAATTTACTTAAACTAAGAAAAATTTTTATCAAGAACTTTTCAACTCAAATCAAGACGATGAAACTTTTCAAAATGATTTTCTCGATTCGTTAATTTTTTTTTCTGGGCATTAAAATGAAGCGTTTCTAATCCAATCTATTTTGTAACTCATATTTAATTGAATAAATGTAAAAATAATCGAACACAATTTGTATTAATCTAAAATAAACTCTACTGTCAAATTAAATTAAAAAAAACATTCTTCACAAGGGATGGACCACCACCACAACCCAACGATTATTCACTCATTCAATTGGATCTTGGATCTATAGCTACGCTGATCAATAACAAGATATAGTTCACAAAGATCAAGATCACAGCTACTATTTTGCGCTACTGCATAGTAATGACTGACAGCCATAAAAAGAGCTTACATCAGTGATCTAGATAAACTAAACTCTACACAGGGAGAAAAAACCCTGTATTGGTGGTGCTGAATGGAATAAAATTCCGCTAGAACTCTTCGGCTGCCCAATTTCAAAACACAGTAACTAACATTTAAAAATTTTTTTCAATTTTTCTTATTAAAAAAAAGTTTGCCCGCCAAATTAATGACAAATTTGATTTATGAATAGAAAATACTCGAATATAAATATTTTTAAGAAAAAATACTTGAAATTAAGGTTTAAAAGTTATAAAAAATGCAGCAATACTAAAAAAAAATCAGGTATAAAAATTTTGCAGTAACTAAAAATTTTACTGTGTTTTAAAATTGGGTAGCCGAATAACTCAAAAAATTGGATAGTAAAAAAATATTGATTGCCTTTTTTTTGCGGCACTTTAAAAATTACCTGAAATTTCATGCTTCTAGACCCCCTTAAATTACCTATAAGTTACATGCAAATAGACGTCAAAACTTGCTGTGCATTGTTATGTCCTAGCTCTAGTGGCCACGCGTGAATTTATTTTATTGAGTCTAGATTACCGACGTGGTCGTAATTCGCCCGGGAATAGTGAAATACTCAACTTTGAAATAGCAGGAATGAATAAATGTGAAATAATGACTGGGTTTTAGCATGCAAAATAACGGCGAAGAAAATATTAGTTTAAATTGATTTGAATAAATTGTAGGATAAAACTTTACACCAAATTAAATTATAGGACTATTACAATATTTAAAGATGTAAGATCAGTCTGAGGGCTGAAGGTATTCTGATTTTCTCTGGAGTTTGGTCTTGAGTCCGAAGTGAAGTAGAAGGGATGGTGGGGCAACTTCCCCTACTGTACCAGGGTCCCACAGTTGGAAATGTTGATGACGTCAATTGGCTGTTCCCTCCCAAATAGACTTCAGTTCGAAGCGTTGGCCACGTGCTCGCTCTTTCCGACCATGCTGGATACCTGGATACCTGAGTCTGGCAA